ACACCTGTATCTGCACCACAGCGCCTGAAAATTTATAAAAACCTAAAAAATCATCTATCATAAAAAAAAAACAACTAATCTTCGAGAAAAATATCAAATGTATGAGAAGAAAGCCGACGTCAGCGATAAGGCCCAGGGGGCTCGACGCTGTCAAGTCTGCCCGAAAAGTCATGACGTTGCACCTGTATCACCATCGATACAGCAACGTCGAGCGCGGAGCTCCCGAGCTGCCGTCGTCGATCTTACAAGAGGAGCTACCGAAGCCTACTTCACCCACCGGAAGAGGAATCACCATCCTGAGTGACGAGGTTCTGTTAGACATCAAAGTGATTTTGATGATCCCTAAAAACTTCCGATAGTTATCCAGCCATATATTCCCAGTGACATTTTTTCGGGGGCGGACTGTTTATTATGTGGACCTTATCCTTTGGAGTTTTTTTTTCGTGTGTATTGTTTCCTCAATCATGAGCAACCTAGCGGCTCTGACGGTAAGTATTGAAATTCTTTTCCTTTTTTTTTATTTATTATATTTTTCCTTCGTTTATCTATTTATCTGATATTCCACACGTCGGTTAAATTTTTTGAATTCCCCCTATTTTAATTTTCGCAGTTCTCAACGCGTTAAGGTAAGAGCGCTGTATTATCGGCAGCTTCCCAACCGTTAAGCGTGTTTACACGGGAATTATTTTGATAAACTGACTCCCTGTTTACCTATCGTTTGTAAAAGCTCGCCATCATGAGTCAGGTTGAGCGCTGCTTAGTGTAGCTGCTCTTCCATAATTTTTACTTTTGATAATTTTCGTTTATTTTTTAATAAAAATATTTGAGTAAAGCGCGACCTTGAGTTGCTGCCCGCTTTAATCAATTTTCTAAAGTCAATAATAATTTCTTCTAACGATCCTAAGATCCATAGATTATTTAAAGGCGATAATTTTGGAGCCTGAGGATATTATCCTGGTTTCTGTATTTTGAGTTATGGAGCATTACCCCTATTTTTGCGATTTCCATCTAATAAATCCATAACTGTACATCTTGTAGAAGCCTAGAGGCGTTCAAACAGAAGCTCGTGAGCCAGGTTGGCCGGTCGAATTAGTAAACGAGATCCTCGAGTACAGAAGGGCGGTTTACCCGATCACGACTTTTCGCCACTAGGAAAACCAAATAATCATGATTTTTTTGGAAACGGCCATCAAGACCTACATATTTTACCCAATTTATACGCGTGTTCTCATCAATCGGATTGATTTACCGGAGGAACTGACGCCGAGAAAGCTTTCGAATAATCGTTTCATATTCTTCAGGACACGATTTTCTGGCCGGATAATCTGCGGCAAGAACTATTGGAGCTAAGGACTCAACATCACCCTATTGAAAGAATTATAAGGGGTAGAATGTTGACTTATCTAGTCATTCGTCATAAAAAAGGCCTGGCTTTATCAGTCATAAAGTCCGGTCATTAAGGTCACCGTGGTCAGCTACCAGCCACCCCATACTTCTATCTATCTAGGCAACTATTTGTCGCCCTATGACGACATCAGCGATCAAAACCATTACAATTGATTCGGTAGCCAGGACGTAACACTGATATTACTGAAGGAGAATTTTTCGACATGCCAGACAGTAGTGCACTAAATAATTATACAGAACTTCTTAACAGAATAGGTGATAATTGGTTGAAGAACTCTAATGAATCAAACATAGGTATACCCGTCCCAGTAGCAGAAATGACTGACGTTTTCTGCCTTCTTGTTGCTGCTATTGGTGGAGATAAGGAAGAGAGAGAAAATAAAACGAGTGAAAGTAAGAAAAGTGATATCAGTGATAAAGGAAATAGGGAAAATGGGAAAGTTACTAATAATGATACGAAAAATAGGTTAATGAATGTTGATGATTCTTATGATGAACCTACTCGGGTATCAACAATAAATAAATCATAAACGTCTGGATGTTGAATTCAAACTAGGAAACGAGCTAGACAGAATGATGAAAACACTTCACATTTAACTGATGCCAGGTTTTTCAATAGTAAGTATTGAAATTCACGATATTTCTATGTTTCTCTTAGCTTAATTTATTTTTATTATCTAACAATGATTTTTATACGAGATTAGTATTTGAGAATATTTTTTTTTAGCATTTGCGTTCGAAAGAACTCAGCGTACAAAATGGAGTGACTCAGAAGAAAAACCAGTGAATTCGTTTTTTGGAGATATATTGAAACTTTAAAAATTACCCTGCCTCAGTCAATATGAAGGATTAGAAAGACGTCTCCCAGAACAATTGACAACCGAAGAAAACAACCAATTCCCCTTAAAACCAATGCAGTCAAAAAAGCTTCAAAATTATAATTCAATTAACTACTTTTCTAATAATTCGTATAATGTTTTTTTTCTTATATTATTTTAATTAAATTAACTACTTTTCTTATAATATCTATTATGTTTTTATTTCAAAAAATGTCATAATGGAACTAATACTTTTCTCGTTATATCGATAATGTAATCAGTAAAAACATAAATTTTGAATTATCATATTTCAACGAAAATGATAACATTGCATTCCTTGGTTTTATATAATCAATAGATGATGATAAAAGGTTTACATTACGCAATCAAGTTCGACATATATATATATTCAATAGATGTGTTGAAGTAGTATCTAATCTAAACATATAAAAACTATGAAATTTATTAGACATTTAACAAAGAGATTTTTTAGGCTAGTCTCCAGAGTAAACATCAAAAAATTTTATTGATTTAGGTCTACATATGTATACATTGACAATAGTCTCTAATCTCAACGGAGAATAAGTGCGTGTATTGAGATAAGATAATGTCAAATTTATACGTTGGAGACAGGCTAAAGTATACATCCAATCGTGTATAGTATTTGCATGTAATTCATTAAATGCATATTTCGAAAGTTGCCTCGACACTACAGAAAAAAAAAATTGTAAAATTCACTAGTAATTTGTAAACTGTATTTTTTGAAGACAGTCTTTAATGTATACATTTAGTTTGATCATAGCATTTGCTTGTTATTGATCAGAAGTATGTATTAGAGACTGTCTTCATTCTATACATGAATTAGGGGTATAAAGTTGACTCAAATATTAATTTTATATTTTGGAGACAGTCACCAAAGTATATATTGAATGTGATCATAGCATCCGATTGTAATTGATCAAATGTATATTTCGAAGACCGTATCCAATCGATACATGTATACTTCGGAGTCAGCCCTCAATTATGTGTTTGATGTTTATCTAAGCGGCAGACTCGAATACATACAGATTTTTAATGAGTTCACAAAGTATACGTTTTATAATTAATTAGTTATAATTGTTTTTTTAATTGTTTATACACTTCAACTGAGTGTATTATTTAAAAGCGTTTTTTCAATACTCTGCTCATTTTATTCAATTGGGCTACAAAACGTACATTCGACATATATATATATATACATGCAAGTGGACGTTTGGTAACATTTTGTGCGACCAAAGTGGAATTTTGGTGACTGTCACGAAACTTCCAAAATAATTTTGAAATCTATAAAAAAAAAGAAAAGTAACAGAAAAATACGATAAATGTCGGATATACGGTTAAAAACCATATAATATAATAAGTTCTGTTCTCCCAGAATCTAAAAGGAGCAGAATAACTGAGAAAATATCAAAATTTGTTACAAAAAATAGATTTATCACAATCAGTTTTTTAATTTTTTTACCTAATAACGGATATTGAAGATTAAAACGTGAACGTTATATATAATAACATCCATGTATACATTTACCATAGTATACTTGTAACAAAGTTATGTACCATTAATGTTCCATTTATGTAGCATAAGTTATGTATTACAAATAAGCATATACATAAACATATAAACAACATTACTAAGTTATGTAACAAAATATTATATCCAATGCAAAATAATTCATGTATCGCAGTGTCTATATAACATATGTAACGTAAGTTACATTACACTGATGTTATTTCATTTTATTGATGCTATGTTACACTGAGGAAACGGCTGCGACATAACATAAACATAACATAAGAGTCACTGTTGTGACGTTTTTTTCAAAGTAACATTGTTTGGTCACGAGGACATAATATACCCGTCACAATTGTGGCGTTATACTACAATCACAATGCCATGTAACTGATACGTAACATAGAAGTAACAATTAGGTACATATCATAAAACGCAAATTTGATATAATTGTTATGTCACCTATACGTCAAAAAAGTTACGTAACTTGTTACTTCCTTGTTATATCACATTTACATTTTGTGTTCACTGGGTTACTCCTCCTGTTGCAGGAGCACTCTTACTGATGATGAAAGGAAATGATCGTAAAACTCAATTTCTGTTCTTTTACAACAAATGATATGTTACGAACAAAAGAAATATGTTTATGTCCATTTTACACAGTGGATAAAATTGTTTCAGTAAAAGAAAAAATTGCGCGTTGGAAGGACTCAAATATCATGCATAGATCCTGTTTTCTATTGTTTACAACAAATTTAATTGTTATAAACAATTCACATTGACAAAAAGTGGCATATAACTTTTCAAACAACCCCCTCTGCATATCTGTTAAATTTGGTCGCAATCGAATTAACCGTTTTGGAGATTACCCCGAACAGACAGATAGACACCAGAAATTTATATAGTAGTATATATACATGCAAGTGGAAGTTTGGTAACATTTCGTGCGATCAAAGTGGAAGTTTGGTGACGAATTGGAATTTTGGTGACAGTCACTGAACTTCCAAAATAATTTTATAATCTATAAGAGTAAAATCACGAAAAAACATATTAAATGTCGCATATACGGTTTGACACCATATAATATATTGAGTTCTGTTCCTTAAGAATCTGGAAGAAGCGGAATAATTGAGGCAATATCGAAATTTGATGAAAAACATAGATCTCTCACAAAAACTTGGTCATTGGAGCAGTTTAAGTCGCTTTTCTCGAATAGGACGAGCAAGTTAAATGGCCTTGGGCATGATGGTCACCAGTTTTGCGTGCATATCACACAAGTTGGTATCTTCAAAAAGACCAACGAGGTATGCCTCGCTGGCTTCTTGAAGAGCTATCACAGCTGCGCTCTGGAATCTCGAGTCCGTTTTGAAGTCCTGAGCGAGTTTATGAACAAGCCGTTGGAATGGCAATTTACGGATAAGTAACTCAGTACTTTTCGGATAACGACGAATTTCTCGACATACGATAGTTCCAGGCCGGTAGCGATGTGATAACTCAACTTCTCCAGTTACAGGAGCACTCTTACTGATGATAAAAGGAAATAATCGTAAAACTCAATTTCTGTTCTTTTACAACAAATGATATGTTACGAACAAAAAAAGTATGTTCATATTCATTTTACACAGTAAATAAAATTGTTCCAGTAAAAGAAAAAATTACGCGTTGGAATGACTCAAATATCATGCATAGATCCTGTTTTCTATTGTTTATAACAAATTCAATTGTGACAAACAAAGGGAGTAGGTTTCCATATATTTCACACGGTTTGTAACTTCATTTCAGCAAAAGAAAAAATTACGCATTGGAAGAACTCGAATATCATGCATAGATCCTTTAGTCGCAATCAGATAAGCCGTTTCGGAGATTACCGCGAACAGACAGACAGACACTAGAAATTTATATAGTAGTATATATATGTGCAAGTGGAAGTTCAGTAACATTGATATTATTGAGATATTTATAAAAATTATGATCATGATCATGAATAAGTAGTCAGGATAGTTATTACTATCAAATACATCAATAATGAAATTTTACCTTTATCTGTAGCATCGATGACTTGTGATGACACATCACAATTATTTATAGAATTCTCATTATCACTAGTATCACATAACGTTTGACACGTAAAAACTTCATCATTAATTAGAGATGACTTTTTTTTTGAAGGTGTTTTCATCAGATATCATTGAAGGGGTTTCATGATATATTGATTCACTTAAAACTTCATCCATAAAATCTTTGTCGATTTGACTTGAATGACTTATGTCAATATCATTGAATTCACTTATATCACGTCATAATCACTTCCATATGACTCGTCTTCATCAGGAATATTGTTATTCAGTTCTAATAAATATTTCTTTTATTTATAATATCAGAGCATTATTGATCAAGTAATTATATGTTTATATAAACGAATTTTTTTTTATTAATTAAGCAATTTTAATTTTCTAATATTGATGTAAAAGTTTTATTTTCGAAATTTTTTTTAACATACATTTAAAGCTCCGTTGGTTAAATTGATAATCACAGTAAGTAAAATATTTTTAATATACAAGAGACTTTAAATTATTGCATTCTACTCTAAATAAACGTCTTATTTAGTAATTTTCGAAATCATATTACAATATTTCATTTCATTATATACTACAGAATGACCTTAAAATGTTATTTAAAAAATAAAATAAGTAACATTAAAAAAATATATATTTATGTATTTTAAAACACATAAATAACATAATTTTTTTTTTCAATAAGGTTACTAAAAACAAGGCGCGCTCTCCAAGCGCGCTGTCTCAAGACAACAACGTTAAAAATTATTTAATTTTTATTTTTATTTATTTCGAAAATTTAAAAATTTATTACAATTTTAGGTAGTTCCTATGCTACATAGGTGTATTTTCTGCTTTTTTATTACTTTGCCAAGCCAGTTTTTTATTTTTCTGAAATAGAAAAAAGTTCAACGAAATAATGTCTTATGAAAATAGTGAAAAATATGATATTGCAATGAGAAATCATTTGAAGCCAACCACAAAATTTATAACAATTTTGGATATTTATTATAATTGTTTTTTCTTTCAATCATCTAGAACATCATTTTATTCATGATTCCAAATGAAATCTATTAAAATCGATATGCAACACGCGGGAAACACTTTTTACTTTTTTTAATCATATTCTTTTGTTGTTAATATTCGACAAACACTTATTTTTCATTATTCAGAACATAGATGTCTCTTGGTTAGGCAAGAGAGAAGAAAATATTACATGGTTAACGTAAGAGAGAGTGATAACAATACGTCAGGCAAGAAAGAGGGCACTGTAGGGAGTCTAACCTAGAAGAAAGTGACAAAAGACACATTCAGTAATGGAGAACACGCGACAGAGCGCTCGATTAAGTAGAGTGAAACAGCAAGCGAAGAAATTTTGAATAGCAGAAATATCGCTGCTAGGGGCGTGACTCATCTGTAACTCTGTTAATAATTAATGAAAAATTCTCGTTCTACGTTTAATCGAAAGCTCATTATATAAGATAACTACTTATTAATTATGAAAGCATAATGTGTAGCAATTATAAAGATATTTGCATATAAAGATGCAATGATGACGTCACACAAAATGTTTCGTGTATAGAGTAGTCTGTAGCCTCGGCGCTCATGGGGAAAAGAGCGCGCTAGTGAAAAAAAGAGAGAGAGAGAAGGTGAATGTGCACTTGGCGCCGAGTATCTACCGCTACTCTAGATCTTATTTTATTTAACTATAACCATTTTTTATTGACTATCAATTATAATTATGAATGAACCTTTAACTCTTTGTTGTATCATTTCGTTATCAATTGTTACACGAAAGATTGTTTTGTTAATAAAATTAAATGTCAAAGTCATGATGACATATTACCAATAGTAATAATATGGAAGTTTGGTAACTGTCACCAAACCTCAACGACAGTTGGATTGTATGTATAGATAGAAAATTATTGAAAACTGTTGACAAAAAATACATAAAACTTAAGAATTTTCAAATATCCAACTTCTCTGTAGAATACTCTTTCAGTCAAAATGATACTATCTTCAACTTATCATTATTTAAACTTTTGATTTATTCAGTTATCATTAGTGCCCACAAAGTAATCTTTATTACCAACGGTATTATATCGACCATTGATAATGTTGAGGTCATTTTATTCTTCCACTACAGTCTGCATCTTAACCACACATTTGTGAAAATAACCGTTTTATTGAGAGCTTGCAAGCGAGCAGAACTGAGAGATTCAAGAGGCTTCCTGTGGAATTCGTTGAATTCAACGTTATTAATCATATTAATAGTATTGTTTTTTTTATTTTTATAACATATGAAATATGTTTTCCTTAATCCAAAAAAGGATTATCCTTTTGTCATTAAATATACACGCCTTTTACAGATTAAAAAATCTAAGTTCCATTTCGTTAATGGTAGGTATCTATATTTTTTGTTAATAAGGATATTTATTTGTTTAAAATCATGAATCTAATTAATTTTGGTTAATAATGACAAGTCTCATCTTATTATTGTCAGTACACTTTCTAACCTACCTAATGATATTGTATTCCTTTTTTTTGTTAATCTGATCATTTCTTATTGGAGTGTATATAAATTTTTGTGATTATTTTATTGTTACATCGATTATATGATAGATTACTAAAACCACTTTTCTTGATATCAGATTGGAATTGTCAGTAAACTTTTTTCATAACGGCTTATCATGAAACATTAATTGTTTATGCTTTTTTCTAGTCAATGCTTCCCAGCGTAAAAATATTGCTGACCACTTAAATAATTATATCCCTTACGTTCCAATAACCCAGATAGATCATACTTTTAAGAAACCATCTATCAGGAATCAATGTCTTTCAACAGTATCTATTGAAAAATTATCGCATGGAAGTAATTTTAATGATAATATCAGCTTAACAAATTGAGCTTTTTTAAATACACTTGAAAATATTAAAGAGTTCTATTTGAGTTATTTTATGGAAATGAAGTTCGGTTTAATATATAATTCTTCAATAATTAAGCAAGAAAAGAGAATTTTTATCAGTTTATATTCCATATAAAAATTATGGTGAAGCTTAAATGACTTAAAAATATTCTTATACTGTTCTTGATTTATTTATTTTTATTGAATATTTGATCTGATACTTCATCTTTGTTATTTTTTATTATTGTAGAATTGTTGATTAAATGTCAGATTTTAGAATAACAATTGTCAATGCATCAATTATAAATATTTACAACATAGAAATTATGTTATTAATGTGTTTTAAAATACATAAATATATATTTTTTTAATGTTACTTATTTTATTTTTTAAATAACATTTTAAGGTCATTCTGTAGTATATAATGAAATGAAATATTGTAATATGATTTCGAAAATTACTAAATAAGACGTTTATTTAGAGTAGAATGCAATAATTTAAAGTCTCTTGTATATTAAAAATATTTTACTTACTGTGATTATCAATTTAACCAACGGAGCTTTAAATGTATGTTAAAAAAAATTTCGAAAATAAAACTTTTACATCAATATTAGAAAATTAAAATTGCTTAATTAATAAAAAAAAATTCGTTTATATAAACATATAATTACTTGATCAATAATGCTCTGATATTATAAATAAAAGAAATATTTATTAGAACTGAATAACAATATTCCTGATGAAGACGAGTCATATGGAAGTGATTATGACGTGATATAAGTGAATTCAATGATATTGACATAAGTCATTCAAGTCAAATCGACAAAGATTTTATGGATGAAGTTTTAAGTGAATCAATATATCATGAAACCCCTTCAATGATATCTGATGAAAACACCTTCAAAAAAAAAGTCATCTCTAATTAATGATGAAGTTTTTACGTGTCAAACGTTATGTGATACTAGTGATAATGAGAATTCTATAAATAATTGTGATGTGTCATCACAAGTCATCGATGCTACAGATAAAGGTAAAATTTCATTATTGACGTATTTGATAGTAATAACTATCCTGACTACTTATTCATGATCATGATCATAATTTTTATAAATATCTCAATAATATCAATTCCGCAAATACTCGTTTAATAAGATCCTGATAATTTTCAAATATTAGCTGATGATAGAGCTCATTCTCTACAAGAAAAGACATTTCCATTAAGTGATGAATTGCCTTCACCTGAACAAATGAGAAATGCTAGTAGCATGAGAGATTGTGATTCTAGTTATGATGTGTCGTTGCCAATGATCGATACTGAAGATGAAGGTAAAGTTTTGAAATTATGTTGATTAGTTACAATTACAAGTATAGAAACTCTTCATTATTGAATAAATTGTTAATATGAAAAAACATTTATTAATACTGTTAATTAAGAACTTTTTATCAAACTAAACGACATTATAAAATAATTAATTTTACATTAAAGTCTAAAGTTCAGGTTTTTAATTACTCCAGATTACGTGCCAACGAGTGAGGTCAGTCAACAGAATAAACAGGATGTAATAATTGAGCCAAATAATGAGTCAGTTGTTATTCCTGATCCATCTATTTCTTCTGGTGCAAGAAATCCAGAAGAAATGTATGTAGTACCATTAGGTGACAAAAAGAGACGAGACTTCTGTTACTATTGCCATACTTTCCTATCTGTAATTAGTCGACATGTAGAATTGAAGCATAAAGACCAACCAGAGGTAAAAGCATTTGCAATGATGCCTAAAGGTAAAATTGCGTAAATTCGCATAGCATGTGAATAGATCAACACATAGAGACCAGAATATTGATCATTAGTCTTTGTAGATCTACGATAATCATACTCCAACTTGAATATTTGATTAATTATGTAAGAAATAATATTTAAATTCTATTTTAAAATTTATAAACTTGAAAATTTATTCAAAGAATATTTTTATATTATCAAGTTGTCATCGAAAAATTCAATTTATTCTGCTAAAATCGTTTTAAATTCTACACTGATTTATTACAATTGTATAGTATGACAAACTATAAACTTTGTAAAATGATTACATAAATTATAAACCATTTAATATATAATAACACGTTATTGTTGACAAATAATATGATAAGAATGATGAACAGATTAAACATGTGCCTCTCTATGTATGTGATCATCAACTGCAAAATTGAGATCAATGGTATTTTAACGTACATCATGATTTATTTAGGTGATGCAGAAAGGAAAAAAATTATCGATACGCTTCGAAAGAATGGGAATTATGTTTTCAATACTAATACACAATATAACGATGGAGAATTACTAGTTAGTCATCGGCCTAATAAAAAGTGGACTAATAATGCTACTGACTATGTAGTTTGCCACAATTGTCGCGGTTATTATACAAAATTAGGAATATTCAAACATCAAAAACTCTGCATAAACGGACACAGTAAAAATAATCTAAGTTATAGTAAGATTATTATAGTAAGTTAGAGTATACTATCAAGAAAAATTGCTGGACGTTTACATTGCGTAGCAAATAGACAGTTAAGTGATGTTGTTTTTCCTCCTCTACGAGATGACGAAGTTACAAGATTAATTCGAATTGACGAACTATTAATAATTTTTGCTAACAAGTTATGTATGAGATATACCAATCAACATCAGCATGCGATGATACGGGCACGATTAAGGCTAATGGGTCGACTTCTTCGTACATTAAAGTAGGATAAAGAACTTGGAATTGATGATTCTGCATCAATCTTTAGTCCAAAATATTATGATGATCTTATCAATGCAATAAATAAAGTATGTGGATATAATGAAGAGACAAATGATTGGGAATCACCATCTAATATTTCAACTTATGGGATATATTTGAAGAAAATTGGCGAATGTTTGATCGTTGAATTAATAAAAAGAGAGGATTCAGACAGACGTCAAAAAGTTAAGGATTTTTTAACTGTTCATGAAAAAGAATATCATTGCCGACACAATAAATTAGCTCTTGAAAAAGTAGCGCAGAATAATCGTCGTAATAAAAAACCTCTTCCACTTGATGATGATATTAGCAAATTTTACAAGTATCGTGAATCTCAATGGATTATAAGCTACGATTCATTAAAAGAAGAGTACAATTTTAAAGCTTGGCTCACTTTACTACAAATGACACTACTTCTTTTGATGTTATTTAATCGTCGTCGCAGAGGAGAAATGGAACAATTACCAATTGCAGATTTTCAATATGAAAATTTTGCTGCTGAACAAAATGATAATCTATTAAATACTTTGTCAGATGAAGATCAAGTACTAGCAAAAAAATATGTTCGTCTGATAACCCGTGGAAAACAATCACGAGACGTACCAGTAATAATTTCTATGGAAATGGTGAAGTTATAGAGTTATTATTGAGCTATAGAAAACACGCAAATGTACACGATGAAAATCCATTCGTATTTGGTATTCCTGGTTTTCATAATGGAGATTACAGTCTTCTAGACACATGCGATCTGATCAGAAAATTTCCAGTCAAGTGTGGTGCAAAATATCCAGATAGACTTCGTGGAACAGCATTTAGAAAACACTTTGCAAACTAAATGTGATTCACTTGAAGTTGATGAAAGTAGAATCGTAGATGTTGCTAATCATATGGGACATCATGAAAATATTTATCGTAATATATACCGTGAAACGACACTTCGTCGAGATTTGTGTGAAGTGTCAAAGTTATTAGAAAGAACTGTTGGTCTAAGTGGCAGAAGTTCAGCAGAAGAGTTAAACGAAGATTCTGAGGATAAAGAATATGTTCATGATGAAGATGAACATGATGAGTCCACTATTAATGATAATTCACTTAGCCAAAGAAGATTACAAACGAGCAGGAACAAAAGCAAAAAGAACCGTCGTCAACAAAAGTCAGTAGTTAACAGATCTTTATCGAACAATGACAAATCATTTTCTTCAAATAATCAGAATTCAAAACATCATAAGAAACGTAATTCTGGATGTTCTCCCAACACATCTAATGTAGGATCAACTGCGGATAAAAGTATTTATTTTTCATGATATTGTAATGTAGTATAAATTCTAACTAGTAGGTAAGATCGATAATATTTTTAATTTACAGAAAAATTTAGAAAACGTAGATGGACTGATATGGAGAAAAGTATTGTTTTCGTAACAGTCAAAGATCATATAAAACGAAGAAAACTTCCTTTAGCATTATCAATAAGACAGGTTATCAATGATAATGAATGTATAACCCGTACCGAAGCTCATTTCAGAACTTGGATAAGTTGCCAGTTTCAAGCTGTACGTGAGAAATATTAAATGTTCAAGATTGCAAATTCTGTTCAACATGTAGCACAATAGAAATGTTCATCTAGTTTTCTTTGTAATTATGGAATGCTTTATACTATTTTTATTTGTTTTTAGCTATTATTTTGCAATAATATAAATTATAAGCATAATGATAGGAGTTGTTGTACCAACATTTTAACTATAAGGAATGTAGATTGAGCGAACAAACATTTCATTTGTTGTTATTTTATATAAAAGCAATTATGATTTATAAACAAATTCTATAGAGAAGAGGCTCTTAATAATAACATGAATTATTATTGTCTCAATCATAATGTTTGATTATTCTATATAAATGGATGTTATGTAATTGATACACGTTTTTCTTTTTCATATTTTATGTAATTAATATTATTAATTAACCTTAATAAAAAATTAGTGAACAACAAATAAAAAATATTATATGTGAAATTTTGCTTAGTTTTTTCCATTTATTGTATTTTCATAATAAATTGTTTCAACTCCTATTAGATGATTGAACTTAATCTGTTGTATCTTAGTGCACGTCAAATTCTTTAAATTCCTCGTACAGCTGACTTTCATTTAGTAATTTTATTGTATTCATTCATAAATTTATACACACTTGCCAACTGATCTCGAGGTTTGGTGACAGTCACTGGACTTCCATATCAATGAGATTTGTGATGTTACCATAGCTTTTTAACAGATAAAATTTTATTAATTTTAGAAACCATTAGTGATTTAATATATGATTATAAGTGATTCAGATGATGAGTAATTCAAGATAGTATCATTTTGACTAGACGAGTATTCTACAGAGAAGTTGGATATTTGAATATTCTTAAGTTTTATGTATTTTTTGTCAAAAGTTTTCAATAATTTTCTATCTATACATACAATCCAACTGTTGTCGAGGTTTGGTGACAGTTACCAAACTTCCATATTAATACTATTCGTGATGTCACCATGACTTTTATATCAAACTAGCAGATTCCCGCGACTTCGTCCGCGAATAAGCCGATTCCAAAAACCTATTGCTATGTGATAGGATTAATGAAAAAAATAACATATGCGTGAGTATTCATAATAAAAGGTAATAATGCGAATTCTATCGTAAGACTTCATTCCAGTTTCTTTACAACAAATTATATATTACAAACAATAGAAGTGGGTTTACATTCTTTTTACACAGTGAGCAACGTTGATTCAGCAGAGGAAAGTATTTTTCGTTAAATAAACTTGAACACGATGCATAGATTCCATTATCAATTGTTTATAACGAATGAGGTAAGTAATAACGAAAGAAATAGGTTCCCATTCGTTAGACACGGTTAGTAACTTTATTCTAGTGTAAGAAAAAATTTTCCGTTGGAAGAGCTCAAATAAATTGAATAGAACCCATTTCTCATTTTTTAAAACGAATTAAATTGTTATAAACAAAAGGAGTATGCTAACATACATTTTACATGGTTTGTAACAAAAACATGGTTAATTTCAGCAAAAAAAAAAATTTTCCGTTAGAAGAGTTCAAATACATTAAATAGATCCCGTTTTCAATTGTTTATAACAAATTCAATCGTTAAAAACAAAAATAGTACACTTTTATGCATTGTACATGGTTTGTAGCTTTATTTTAGCAAAAGAAAAAATTACGCGTTGAAATAACTCAAATATGTTGTATAGAACCCGTTTTCAATTGTTTCTAACGAATTTAATTGTTATAAACAATTTACATAAACAAAAAGTAGCCTATAATCTTTCTGACAACGCCCTCTACATGTGTGCAGAATTTGGTCGCAATCGAACAAGCCGTTTTGGAGATTAGCGCGGATAGACAGACAGATAGACAGACAGACACCAGAAATTTATATAGTAGTATATAGATAAAATTTTGCTTGATTTTAGAAATTGTAAGTAATTGACTAGTTTATGCAACACTTAGTATTATAGGACGAAACAATAGACTAATTTGAGTTTCATGCTTTTCTTTAAAAAAAAATGAAACATGATTATGACAAAAAAAAAATCGCAACTATAATATCAAAAATCATTTCCAATATCCAGAACAATCAATGGCGTAAGTCGTAGCGAGTCTGGATTCAAACGGGGATATTGAGGTTCGATTCTGGGTCACTGCAATTTTTTTTTTCCTGTAATTCCGTCGTAATTATTGCATTTGTACTATTTTTGAAATTTATTCAATCTAAAGAGCAAATTTTTCCTCCAGTATATTTATTTATGCAGTTCTTTTACTATCACATTCGGTTTTTTAAGTGCAACACGAAATTAATACGCTTATTCTCGTATTCTAATTGGAGAGACTCCCACTCATCAATTTAATCATTCTTCAGTAATAAAGCATAAAGATGAATATATAAAAATTTGAAACTATGTTACTATTTAACTAATAGAAAAAATCTTTCAGTATCGATCAATATGACATACTTACAACTCATAATAATGAATTGATTAAGCTAAGTTTTAAATAGCAAATTTGTGGTTTGAATGACTCAATTTCAGATACGTATTGCTTTGTTATGGAATTAAAATACAAGTAGTAAATCGATATGTATTGAAAATGGATAGAAAAAATTCGAATTTGTTTCACAAATCTCGTTTTCAATTGTTCATAACAAATTCAATTGTTATAAACAATTCACATCAACAAAAAGTAGCCTATGTCACTCCTGACATTTTCCTGTTAATGTCTGCAATGTTTTATCAAAATCGGTTCAGCCGTTTCCGAGATTACCCCAGACAGACAGGCAGACACTCTAATTTTATTTATATAGAAGATAACAAGAAAGAAAATCATCAAAAGAGAATAAAACAATTTAATTAATTGTAAAAAGTACAAAAATTGATAACTCTTATGATTTACATAACAGATATTCCTTTTCCCTAATCGTATCGACTTTATTGTTGTATTTTAGAGTTTCTTTCATTGATAGATATCAATGATTTTTCATTTACACATACTTTCTAAGTGTCCTCGACATTTGGTGACAGTCACCAAATTTCCACATGAGTACTAATCATGATTTCCTGACTAAACTACCAGGCTTATATTTAAGTGACGCTTTCCAGGTACTCAAGTAACCCCAGAGAATACTTTTCGTGCAACAGATGTACATATAAAAAAAGTCACCAAACTTCCGCTTACACGTATATACATATATATATATATATATATATATATATGTATGTATACATATATGTATGTACAAAGTGTTCTTTCAAGGCATTATAAAAATACAATGGTTATTTGGCAAACTTTTGTATTCTTTGAGGACTGTCCTCAAATTATAGCCATAGAGAAAGTATTTTTTAAAGACAAGTCTCCGGAATATCTATTGAATATATGTGTATGAAACTTTAATAGAATAGATGGTTCGAGACAAGATTTTATGCTAAAAAATTATTTTGTAGAGTAGCACTTTCTTTTTCAATACAAGTAAGGCAAATTTCATAAATATAAAAAATTAATCGTGATTGGAGCAAAAAAATATAAAAACAATTGAAAATATCAGTGCTCTTCAGTGGTCTGGGTGCGACCCGAAAGGTCCACACGACTAACTTCCTAGTGGAAAAAATAAAAAAACAATTTGAATAGAACCTGTTTCCATTTTTTATAACTAATGGAATTGTTGTAAACGAAATGAGTCTGTCTCTATTCATTTGATATCGTTAAAAGTACTCATATATATAGAATAGATCTCTATTTTTATTGTTTATAACAATTCAAAACTTAATTTAAATATTACTATGATCAATAATTACTTGTTAGTACCGATGTTCAATTGTTATGAACACAATTCCATATTATTGACAATTATTATTGACTATTATAGCGTCTTCAATGCTGTTTTCTCAATCCTGACACGAGTTTAAAATACTTTCATTGCTGATATTGTTTTTTAAATTTTTTTCTTTCGATGAAATATTGTCATCATATATCCATACAAGTATTCAAATCATTTAATATTCATATTTCTGCAATGATCTCCAAATTTTGTCTAAAAAATGGTATAACTTATAAATTGCAAAATTCAAGTAATTTCCTTTTTTCCAGTTTTTTGATTCTGCCAAAAAAATGGCTCTACCGATTTTCCTGAAAACATTCTCAGTTCTAGATTACGTAATTACGCGTCGAATGCAATCGGTCCCACATCGATATCATTTTTTGTTCTCGAGATATTTGAGGCGAAAAATAATTCCGAACGCACATACACACACAGACGTCTACGTAAAAATTATCGTATTCAACTCTGGGGACCTTAAAACGTCGAGATATGTCAAAAGTAGCGATTCACAAAATCGGACCCATTACTATAACCTCCCCATTGGGAAGTTGAAAACTTTTAAAGATTTAAAATTCGTCATCGTTAATTATACAAATTCGCCTATCATTCTGTACCACTGGATAGCAGTGATCGACTTTATTGTATGTAATTTCGATTTCCCAGCCTATATTTTGATAATACTTTTTATTAGATTATACATACATACATTTAATCAATGCCTTGTCTGCAAAGGATCTTTGATGTTTCATCGGGAAATAACATGGACATGTGTGTACGGAGAATCTTTGGCTAGTACAACCGATGATTGTTGTGCGGACTTGCATGGTATATTTTGAGGACCGTCCTCAAATTATTCCTATGCTGAAAGTATTTTTTGAAGACAAGTCACCAAAATATCTATTCAATATACACGTATACAAATGTATATACTTTTGGAGCAATGAATAGTTTTGGACTTGAATTCTTCGGATTTTTCGATGATTAGTTGTTTATTAATATTATAAATCCCCCTCTAATGGAAAAGAGACTTTCCGCGCTGGTATGACGAAGAAGTCATTTCTTACTCAGTATTGATGAAAAGAAAAAAAAGGTGCACATTTTAAATGATAAAAGAAAAAGCAATTGTTTAGAAAATTAATATCAAATTTATCCTTTCTAATTTAATCATCATATTTTTTTTATGGAATTGAATTGAACCAATTTATTTTTATTTCTATAAAATAAAATCTTTCAGTGGTAAATATAGTAAAAAATGGCTCAATCGCCTTTGTATTTTTAGTATTTAACTTCAAATTCCAGCTCCTTTTAATAGTTTTCAATATTAAAAAAATATAAAATAATTAGAATTAAACTCGTTATGAATAAATGAAAAGAAATAAAATTCTGTGTGCATGTGTATACGAAAAATCATTGGCAGGTACAACCTATGATTATTGTGCGAACTTGCTTGGTATATTTTGAGGACCGTCCTCAAATTATTCCTATGCTGAATGTATTTTTTGTAGACAAGTCACCAAAATACAAGTGAGTGCATATTTTCAATAATAGAAGTAAAGGTAATTATTGCGAAAATTTATTCACTTGAAATACACATTTCGTATAACTATAGAAATATTGAAAACAAACGAATCTCCTAAGCGCTCAGTGTTTTGATAACGACGTTACGGAGGCATCGGATTGTTGATGTTGGTAGAAAATTCGTAGAATTGACGCACGAGCTATATTTTAACGTATTTTATTTTTAACGGTCATTTTTAACGTTCAGTTTTCTTTGTGAAGTGATTGAGAGAGGATCGTTATTGCTAATCATTTATTTCTCATAATATCTTATATTGTGCATCGTGTGCTGGACAGAAATCTCCTTTAACACCAGAAATATCGCTGTTAGGGGCGTGGCTTATTTATAACTCCGTTGATAATTAATAAAAAATTCTCGTTTAACGTTTAAGTGAAAGCTCATGATATAATACTACCTATTAAATATAAAATCATAATATGTAGCAATTATAAAGATATTTGCATATAAAGATGCGTTGATGACGTCATACAAAATTTTTCGTGTATAGAGTATAGTCGGTAGCCTCAGCGCTCATGGGGGAAAGAGCGCGCTAGTGAGAAAGAGAGAGAGAGGGAAAAGGTGAATGTGCACTTGGCGCCGAGTATCTACCGCTACTCTGGATATAATCGGTAGCCTCGGCGCTAGTGTTCCCAGCCGTCACATAAATATAGTATATGTCACATCAATCTATCTTGATGTACTATGTACTCCAAACAGTACTTATGTGACACTGATGTACTATAATTCGATTATTTTTGCATATTTAAAATACAAAAAATATACACATGAAAAATTATACATAGAAAAATACAGTATTCATATGTGTTCATATATTATTTTATTTTTGACTTTTTATCACTGGGAAGCGCTCCTATCTCGAAGAATAAATGCAGCTAACTTCACTCAATATGAAAATAAAATATTTTAATTATCGATGTAGGTCATTTTTTAATTCGAGGTGTTGGTTAGTTTTACAATGATAACAGTTTCTGGAATGGCATCAAAATGTAAATATAAATTACAAAACTAGTTTAGTTAATTAATTTATTTTTATAACCAGTCAAATACCAAAAAGTATATTTATGAGTAATAAAAATAATCTAAAGAGTAAAATATCAAAGTTAGCTACGAAGAAAATGGAATCTTCTGTTGAAAACAGATCTCCGAATGCCTCCTGTAATTCACAACCTAAAAAATCAACCAAGACTGTTCGACGTAAACAAAAATTTAGGAATTAGTGGTTATCAGAAAGTGATTTCAGTACTTGGCTTATCCCAGATAAACCAGATACTTACAAAGCTACATGTATTTTATGTAAAACTTCCATGAAGGCTAAAATATGTGTAATTCGAACCCATGCCAAAGGTCAAACTCACATGCGAAATATTAGTGGCACTAAGAAGCAAACTCCCATCACTACTTTTACAGAATCTAATATTAATAATAACTCTAACAACTCGGTACATAGAGCTGAGATAAAATTGTGTGGTTTTTTATCAAAACATAATCTTTCATTTAAAATCATGGATCATCTTGGTCTATTATTGAAAAGTTGCTTTCCTGATTCACAAATCACTCAAAAAATTCAAATGAAAAGTACTAAATCTTCTGCTATTGTTAAGAATGTCATTGTCGTATCTAAAAAAGAATATTTAGCTAACAAATTGAAGAATAATAAATTCAGTATACTTGTTGATGAATCAACTGATATATCAGCAATTAAAGCACTGTGTATTGTTATGAGGTAATAAGAACTTTTTTTTCACTGTCTCTTTAATTATAACTTATTGGAATATGTATTTATAAATTTTTCAATTTCAGATTTTATGATTGTGAAGCTAGTAAAATTGTTAGCCGTTTTTGGGACCTCTGCCAAGCCTTCAGTGACACTAATCTGGTTGATGCAGCAACTGCAGAACATCTTTTCAATATTGTGAAATTATCATTTGATGAATATCAAATCCCCTACTCCAATATCATTGGTTTCGCTTCGGATGGTTGCAATACAATGATGGGGTGTAATAATTCAGTTGCCACCAGATTTCAAGATTTATGTCCTAATATATGCATTTTTAAATGCATATGTCATTTTTTGCACCTTTGTGCAAGTACTGATTGCAAACAACTACCCAGACAATCTGAAGATTTGGCACGTGATGTTTTCAACTTGTTAAGTGCAAGTGCTAAACGACAATTTGAGTTGAAAGAGTTTCAAGAGTTCTTAGACGTTGAAGTACACAAGATTTTACACCCTTCTTAAACTTGATGGTTATCATCATCATCATTAGTTTTAAGATTACTAGAACAATGGACAGCATTACAAACATATTTTACTGATCAAGTATATGAAGCTAAACTACATGGAGATGGAACAATATTAAATTATCTGAATAACCCGGTTGTGAAGTTATATTATTTATTTTTAAAATGGGTTTTACCAAGGTTCACTACTTTGAATGAAATTTTTCAATCTGAAAAACCAATGATAACTTCTATGTATAATGCTGTTAAAATTACTTACCTAGAGCTACTACAAAGTTACATGCAATCAGATTATATCAGCCAAACTTCATTAGCTGATATTAATCCAACTGATAAAACTAGATTTTTATAATCTACTCGAATATATGCAGGCGTTGATGTGATTAATTTTTTTAGTTCTCCTGAATTTAATGAGAGCATGAAAGAAGATTTTTTCAATGGTTGTATAATGTTTTTAAGCACTGGCTGTAATGAAATCAAGTCTCGTTTTGATTTCGGTAATGCTCTAGTACAAAAATAAAATGTACTGCAACCTTCACTGCATCCAAAGCGATGGATCGAAGAACAAGAAACGACACACCATCACTTATGCCTTTAATGCAACTACTACCACGTATTGTAACACCGAATGATTACCAAGATGTTGACAATGAATGGCGACGATTTCCTAACTTTGAACTACCTCGTTATATGAGTATAGGATGATCCAGATATTTTTTGGAACAAATTATTCAAGAATAATTCTGAAGATAACAGGGCTTCTATCTTATCAACGAAAATATGATTGTATTGATTATGAACCAAGCAAGACTGAGTTTAGTCGAATGACCGCTGCAATACTTTATCCTCCTAAATTAGGTGGAAAAAAAACTTATTCTGAAAGAAATTGTGATAGCAATTTGAGAGAAAATAGGAATGAGAGTGATGAAAATGACTTTGATAATGTTATTATGCCAAATAAATTATATCGATTCTATTCAAGAAGAAAATAAGCCTGTTCATTCAATTAAACAAAAAATTAGAAAATAAAAATAAATATTTATTTTTGAATAATTACGTTATCAGTATTGGAAAGTTTAAAAATTGCAGTTTAAATGTTGAATCATATAATAATCTTGCTTTTCTTTATATTTTCTATTGTATAAGATGAATAACATAACAAATATCAATAAATAACTTTGTATTCAATAATGTTTTTGTGATTTTTAATATTATCATCCTTTTTCTATACATTTTTATCCCTTTTTCATATATTTTTATTATTCATGTGTACATTAACTAATATCTATAGCTTAAAAAAAAAAAAATTCATTGATAACTTGATATTGTGTATAAAAAAAAGTTTAAAAGTACGTTAAAAATCATTTTATTATTTCAAATTACTTGGAATGTAGATTTTTCTTCTATTTTTTATCTAATTTCGATGTGTAACATAATTTCGAGGCCCGTACTATAATTCTACGGCCCTGGTCACATAATATAGCTTCAAAAATCTGGTAACACTGCTCGGCGCGAAATAGCGCGCTAGTGAGAAAGAGGGAGAGAGGGAAAAGGTGAATGTGCACTTGGCGCCGAGTATCTACCGCTACTCTAGATAGGTACGATTTTGCGAATCGCTAATTTTGGCATATCTCCACGTTTTAAGGTCCCCAGAGTTGAATACGGTAGTTTACGTAGACGTCTGTGTGTGTGTATGTACGTATGTGCGGATGTTCGTATGTTCGTACGTGCGTTCAGAATTATTTTTCGCCTCGATTATCTCGAGAACAAAGAAAGATATCAACGCGTAATTACGTAACTTAGAACTAATTAGATTTTCAGCGAAATCGGTCCAGCCATTTTTATTGCAGAATCAAAAAACTAAAAAAATAGTGAACTACCTAAATTCTGCAATTTATAAATTATACCATTTTTTAAGCGGAATTTCGAGATCGTTTGAAAAATATGAATATCAAATGTTTAGAATAATTGTACAGAAATATGATAACAGTATTTCATAGGAAAAAAATTTTTAAAAAACGAAATCAGAAATAAAGAAATTTCGAACTTGTGTTGGGATGGAGAAAATAACGTTGAGGATAATAAAATAGTCAAGGATTATGGTTAATAATAATAAATTGTGTTCATAACGTTTGAACATTGTTAATAACAAATGATTGTCGATCCTAATAATATTTGAATAAAAAATTTTTAATTATTATAAACAATAAAAAAAGAAATTTATACAATATATTTGGATTCTTCTAACGCGTAATTTTTTCTTTTGTTAAAAAAAAGTTACCAACCGTATGACATGAATGAAAACTTATTCTTTTTGTTTATAACAATTGGATCTGTTATAAACAATAAAAATAGAGATCTATGCAATATATTTAAATTCTTCTAATGCGTAATTTTCTCTTTTGCTAGAAAAAAGTTAATAATAAATAAATTCGAAAGCCTATTCTAGAATGAATCGACAGTTTTTACGTCGACGTCTGTGTGTGCGTATGTGCGTATGTGCAACAAAAAATGATATCGATGTGGGACCAATTGCATTCGACGAGTAATACGTAACTTAGGATTAAAAAAGTTTTCAGGAAAATCGTCAAAGCCATTTTTTGGGCAGAATCAATAAACTGGAAAAAAAGGAAACTACTTGAATTTTGCAATTTATAAATTATACCAGTTTTGGACAAAATTTCAAGATGATTTCAGAAATATGAATATTAAATGATTGGAATACTTGTATGGATATACGATGACAATATTTCATCGAAAAAAAAAATTTTAAAAACAAAATCAGCAATGAAAGAATCTTTAACTCGTGTCAAGATTGAAAAAACAGCATTAAAGACGCTATAATAGTTTATAATAATTGTCAATAATATGGAATTGTGTTCATAACAACTGAAAATTGGTACTAACAAGTGATTATTGATCATAGTAATATTTAAATAATAAGTTTTAAATTGTTATAAACAATAAAAATAGGGACCCTTTCTATATATATATGAGTACTTCCTTTCTATATATATATGAGTACCAACCGTATGCCATAAATGAAAACATACTTTTTTCGTGTATAACAATAAAATTCGTTGTAGATAATGAAAAAAAGGATCTATGAGGTACATTCGAATTCTTCTAACGCACAATTTTTTCTTTTACTGAAATGAAGTAACTAACCATATCAAATGAATATAAATAGACTCATTTCGTTTATAACAATTCCATTTGTTATAAAAAATGGAAACGGGTTCTATTCAAATTGTTGTTTTATTATTGCCACTGGGAAGTTGATCGTGTGGACCTTTTGGGTCGCACCTAGACTATTGCGGAGCACTGATATGTTATTTTTTATTTTACAAACAAATTGTAATTGGATTTATTAGATTACAAATTACATTATTGATTTATAATTTCTTTTCTCTAAATTATCTATTAATTACGCTGTTAATCTGTAAATTTATAGATCACATTACAAATTACTTTTGTAATTGATGATATTTTTGGTAAAATTCTTTTTGACAAATTACTAAATACGAAAGTAATTTGTGATCTTATAATTTGAATTTCTAAATTGATAATTTGTAATTTTACTAAAAATTAGTTAAAATTTCCATTTATTTTGTGATAAAAGCACCACTTTTTTATAATAAGACAAAAAAAATGTTTTAATATCTATATTAACTTATGGTTCAATAATAAATTGTGTGTTCCAAAGTTGTCACATATATTTTTACCATAACACATGTGTATATAACAACTTAATTATGTTTTGAATCATACAATCAAACGTTCTTACTTATGTTTCAATGATTAAATATATGTTCCAACGAACTTATTTATGTTCGAATGGTCGAATACGTATTCTAATGTTCCGGTTTATGTTCTAATAATAGAGAATGCATTCTCAGACTTTTTTTTAATGTTCTAACTGTCCAATATTTGTTTAAATGTTCTAAATCATGTTCTAATAAACAAGAATATGTTTCAACGTTACATTATGTCTTCTAAAGTTCCCACATATGTTTTTATGATGAAATATGTTGTCTTATGTACTTATTTATGTTCAAATCGACGAATATGGGTTCTAATGTTCCAGATCATATTATTAATAAACTAGTATATGTTCTAACGTTATATTATGTATTCTAATGTTTCGACTTACGTTGTAATGATCAGATATTTGTTCTTATTCTCTCGTGTACGTTGTAATCACGAGATATATTCGCTCATTCTGTATAAAAAAGTGAGCTATGCTCGAACTCAAACGCAACCATACTTTTCCATAGAATATTCAAGTAGATGTCTGTAGTAGATCAAACAGCTCTCCTTGTAGTCGTGAATAGTTAATAAACTTTTAATTAAAGTAGAACAAATGTCATTAAATAGCTTTTACTCATGTATGCTAATTGGAAGAGTAGAATTTTACTAAGAAGAACAGAAATAGAATAGTTTTATCGATATAGCTATCACTCGAGTCGCTGCTGAACTGGAGTGACTTTTCGCAACGTTACGGTTTTCTTTTTGAGTACAAAACAAATGGTCGACTCCTCAGGCCACGAGATGAATACCTGAGTAGCGTTGTTAGCTATTGTGCAATCATCGGTAGCAAACCTTACTAGTAAAAGTCAACCTCAGACCATGAAAGTAATGTGAGCTCATGGTAAAGTTATAGGGAGACTACCTAAGTTGCTCGTTGAACTACTGTGGTGTCTATAGTGGAACTTTGTTTTTACCATGAGCTTTAAGGAAAGCAAAAATGAAATAGATCTTACCAAAAGTGGATTGTTGAAAATTGCTTGAGTTTTAAGCAAATATTAGCAGTCGGTAAGCCAATATTCAGTAGGAATGCCTTGGTTGTATCTTAGCAGACAATAAATAATTCCCTAGGGTGAAATTTTCGTTCCAGGATTACTAAATGTAGACTCCTGGAGGTTAAGTTGTGCCCTAAAATGCCAAATTAAGTATTAACTATTTATTCTTGTCTCATTGTATAAGATTTATTACAAT